CATTTTAATTAAATAGCTTTAAGCAATGCCTTGCAGTTATTACATACGGTTATGACATACTCTGGGTAGGCATAAAAAGAAATCATTTTGTCCTCTGTTCCACTCCCCCCACTCCACAAAATAAGCTAATCAAGAATCTACCATAATTTAGTGTTCAGTTATTACACTGGCTAAAGTAGAGCTTTCAGAATAAAATACAATGTAGGGTCCCTGCATCTACATAGAGGCCATCTGTGGTATTAGGCTCACCATATACACAAAACACCAGCCTTGGAACTAGCTTTCCAATACAAGTTAGAACTGGATGTATTAAGTGTGAGGGATCAGGTTACTTATGTCTTATTTAGGCAAAATATATATATATATATTTATTTTTAAAAAGTCACTAAGAACTGGAGTTTACCTTGACATTAGAAGAAAGAGAATGAAAATGAAAAATAAAAAGGGAGAGAAAGGACTGGACACGGTGGCTTACACCTGTAATCCCAGCACTTTGGGAGGCCAAGGCGGGTGGATCACAAGGTCAAGAGATCCAGACCATCCTGGCCAACGTGGTGAAACCCTGTATCTACTACAAATACAAAAAATTAGCCAGGCATGGTGGTGGATACCTGTAGTCCCAGCTACTCAGGAGGCTGAGGCAGAAGAATCACTTGAACCTGGGAGGTGGAGGTTGCAGTGAGCCGAGATTGTGCCACTGCCCTCCAGCCCGGCGACAGAGTCAGACTCCATCTCAAAAAAAAAAAAAAAAAAAAGCAGGGAGAGAAAGGAAGGAAAGAAGGAACTGAAAGGGAAAGGAAGTGAAGACAAGAGAAAGAAAGAAAACAGATCAATCTAGCAAAATTTCATCTCAAGGGAATTTGAAGTCAGCAGTTCTATTCATAATCAAACAAGTTCAAAGACCAACTTGTTTCTATTAGTCATAAGATATCTTCTGTAATTTCATTGAATTATTTTATAGTGAACCCAACATTTGCATTTGTGCTTTAATAAAAATTACTGTCTGTTTCTGCAGGCAAGTGAAGTAGAGAGATGAGTGGATTATATAGGGCAAATGCCTTGAATTTCAATTAATATTACAATAATTTAATTCTAGTATTAAGATGACCTTGGCCCAAAGGACTGTGCAATTTTTTTAAGGGGCTTTTATTTTCACTTGAAGCCCCCACTCAGAAAGTGCAAAATAATTTCTATGGGATAGGTCAAAGCTTCCTACTGAAAAGAACACAATACAGTACTTTAGGAAGAAATTTAACTGAAAGCAACAAGCGTTAACCATACAGTCCAAATATGCTGTGTAAATATCTCACAATGCCTCAATCTCTTGGGTCTCTAAATGACTAGAGGTGACAGAACATTCTTCTCCCTACATTAGTGATGCCTCTGCCGTGTGACACTTTCTTCTAACTGCTGACATAGAAAACTCTCCTGGTGCTTAGATGGCCATGTGGTGGTCATTTCTTACTCCCCTCCTTTTCCTTTCTTAGATGGCTGTAGAGTTTTCATTTAAAACTTTTAATCTTAGCAAAGGAAATAGCTCTTTATTTCCTATACTGCAGTTACATTAGTAAATTAATTAATAAAACAAACAAAAAACAAAACCACTCCCAAGCAGGGCATTTTTCTCTTCTGCCTTCCTCTTGTTACTAGTCTCACGGGCTAATCACCACCCCCAGTCCCAAGGGAAACTGCAATTTTCTAGTTATTTCTATTGCAGATCTGGAAGCCCTTCTCTTTACAACCCTTTGGCTGGGGAGCAGGAACAGACATTCTTCTTTGCTTCAGGGTACTTTACCCTCAATGTATTATCCAAATAAAAATCTAAGCAAGAGAAACAAAATCCTATGATTTCCATGAATAATAATAATATTTACTATTACCATCCCTTGGATGCAAAGATAAAGCCTCAGATTCACCATCTAATAGGGGCACATGCTTTTATTCTCAAGAGACAGAAGCCTAGATGTGTTATGCTAATCAGATCACAGTCCTCTTTGTTGGTTCCTTGCAAAGAACAACTGTGGACAATTTTAGGATGGTTGTTCATGAATGGGGTGTCCCAGTACCATGAAAAACACCAAAGCTAGCTAGCTACCCACACAGCATAGATAGTAGCCATCTCTATGGTTAAACTAAAGAATCATGCTTAAATAAACTGAGCTACTTATTCACAGACAGGGTTGAATTGACTCTGGTTCACACTGTCCAAATTCATGAAGGAAAATTTCCATTTGCCTATGGAAATACAAACCTGTCTGATTTATAATTTGCAGTTGCCATCATAGCATAATATAAGCTTACAAAGTAGAGTTTGTTTGATATTCCAGATCTCTTCCAACCAAACCAATACATTAATGTTTCACTCTTTGCTGGAGTTTACTTTAAAAGCCTCCCTTTCTCTTCAACGTTATCAATCTTTCTTACTCATCTCTGTTTAATAGGTTTAAGAACACCTTGGGCAATATTTGGATTACTATTATATTTCTTTTTAAATTATTCAGTTCATGCTCCAAGTAGAAAATTGGTAGCGTCTTTGTAAATTTATATTCATTTGATCCTTAAAGTTCTATAACACAATAAACTTGGAACTAGGAAGTAGCATTATTCTGTTGGCATGTATGATTTGTTAGATAATCTAAGCCTATTTTGGAAGCATTTTGCAAAGCTTCAGTTAAAGGTTTTCATAACAAGTATATAATGTACTAAAATTTAGGCCAAAATTTGTGCAGGAAGTTCTTAATAGGGTATGAAGCTAAAGCTAAATCAGATTTCTTGTTTTAATCATACACTCCATTCTTACAGAGTTTTCTCTGTATATTCTGACAGGAAAAATTACTTCATTGTGATAGTAACAAATGATATTTGTTATTTCCTGTTTTGCATCTGAAGAGCGGGTAGGGGTGGCCAAAGTCATGTCATGACCTGTGCCAGCCATATTGTACATTTCTCCTGCTTTTTGTGAGATACAAATATATATATCATACGACGGCTTTGCTTTTCTATTCAGAATTCTGTGCTTAGAAGACCACAGACATTAAGTGATAGTAAACAGCACAATTTGAGTCCTGTGGCCACTCTGGATGATCAAGTTGGAAGAAGTTGGACTGCAAGAAAGTAAATGCTGGTTTAACACATGTATGATATAATTATACTGTAGGGAAATTATCCAAAGCACATAAGAATCAAATAGATTCACTTTAACAAATACAAAAACTCTGTTCAAATAAAAGCTTTCTGTGGCTTTGTAAGGGCTCATATTGGAAAAAATGGGGGAGGGGAATAGATATTATAATTCACTCTGAAACTATATAACATAAGTAAATGAACAATAAAAGTGATAAATTGGGCAGTAAAGAAGATTATAGAAATAATGCTTTCACATATCAGGCATTCATTAAATTGACTTCTCAATGTAATTACTTTAACATTTCTACTTCTGATTCAGTACAGATTTTTGGATCATTAAATAAGAGAGTAAATATTAAACATTTTTCAGGAAAATAATTTATGGCCTAACAAATTTTCCAACAGAAAATCACAATGTCGGACAACCAGACTAGCATTTTTTGTAGTCAATTTTTGGACTTAATTCTTCAAAACAGTTTCAACAAATCTGTACTGCACACCAGCTATGCACTAAATATAGTGTGGTAAACTAGCACATTAATAGACATATGGCAATTGTTTCAGGTACTCCTGTATTTCCAAGGGATTTTGTGGATATACTTTATACTTTATATAATATATACTCTATGCATGATATAATAATTTCTTTGGGTATGAGGTTTTTATTCCCAACTAAACTGTGATGGCAACATCACTGCCTCTAAGGAATGCACAATTTAAGAAGAAAAGCACATATACAACTAAATATCAACAAAGTACTATAAGAAGACAGATGATTCCACTGGGTGACTATAGTCAATAATAACTCAATTTTACATTTTAAAATAACTAAAAGACTATAATTGGATGTTTGTAATACAAAGGATAAATGCTTGAGGGGATGGATACCCCATTGTCCATGATGTGGTTAGTTCACATTGCATGCTTGTATCAAAACATCTCATGTACCCTATAAATATATACACCTACTATGTATCCACAAAAATTAAAAATATTAAAAGAAAAAAGAAAACACATGATTAATTCTTCCTGAAAAAGGTTTAAAAAAAAAAAGGCTTTAAGAAAAATGGTGTTTGATTTAGATCTTCAGAATATAGGAATTCACCCAACAGTGAGGTGAGTGAAGAACATCCAAGCCTGGAAACAGCATAAGGCAGACAGGTAGAAGCACGTGGCATCTACGCTCAATGATGGAGCCTTGCTACTCCAACAGAGGCTTAAGTGGAGGCATTGGCATCACCTGGGAGCTTGTTAGAAATGCAGAATCTCAAGCTCCATCCTTGAACTTCTGAATCAGAATCTCCATTTTAACACTATTTCTAGGTGATTTGTATGCCCACTTGAGATGAAAACACACCAGTTTAGAGGGCTTTCGTTGTTGGAGTGTTGGAAGTCCATGCAGCTGGAAAAGGTGGACAGAAACTAGATAGGGACACAACAAGACTACAATAGTTAGAAGCCTGAAGTTCATCCCATTGCCATGGGTAAACCACCCAAAGTTTTGTGAAGAGCAGAATAATATTACAAAAATCAACATTTTAGGATGCGAATGCTTTTAGAAAATAGTGAAGAAGAAAACTACCTAGGGTATTTTTGTAACAATTTAGATAAGAGATTATGATAAATCCCTGGCCTGAGACAATGGTAGTAAAAATGGAAAGAATGAGACATATTTCAGACACATGCCACAAAAAGGATTGCCAAGATTTTATCATAACTGTAAGAGGCCATATTAGAGAGGGAAGACTGAGAAAAGGACTCACTCTAGGAAGTGACTAGTTTCAAGATGAACTATAATATATTGCTGAAGGCAAAAGTAAGTGAAAGCTGTAAGAGCTATAAAGGGAAAGACACTTCAAAACTAGGATGCCAGATGGATCAACGGTAATAACACCAGTCATTTATTCAGTCATTCATTTATTCAAAAATGTTTGTTAATTGCCTGGTAATTGCCAGTTTCTTATCAGCACTGAGGAAACTGAGTCTCTGTCCACAGGATTTCATGTTCTAGAAGAGATGGAAAACAAATAGGTAGATGAATGAATATGCAATATTTCTCCAGGTGGAGATTAGAGTTAGTGTTTTTTTTGTTTTGTTTTTTATTTTTTATTTTTTTATTTTTTAAGTATGGTAAGCTCAATAGAAGCTATTTTAATTTTTTTTTTTCTTTTTCTGAGACTGGCTCTTGTACTATCACGAGGCTGGAGTGCAGTGGCATGATCATGGCTCACTGAAGCCTCAACCTCCTGGGCTCAAGCCATCCTCCCACCTCAGCCTCCCAAGTAGCTGAAACTACAGACTCATGCCACCACACCTGGCTACTTTTTTAAAAAAATTTTTTTCAGAGATGGGGTCTCACTATGTTGCTCAGGCTGATCTTGAACTCCGGCTTCAAGTGATCCTTCTGCCTCAGCCTCCCAAAGTGCTTGGATTACAGGCGTGAGCCAGTGAACCTGGACTCAGAGGCCATTTTAAGTACAGAGGTCAGGAAACGGCTCTGTGAGCATGGCCTTTCATGGCAAAGGAAAAAGGTGATATATCTAGAACTGACTTGGGAAATTCAACTACTTTAAGAAAACATTTATTTTGTTTCACTGTTTTGCAGAAAAAAAAATAGAGTCAAAATTATTTTAATAATAACCAAGATGATAACTTACATTTCCATGATTTTCATAGTTTTATACTTTTACATATGTTATCACATCTGAGTCATATAATCCTTTTGAAAGGGAGAGAGGACAACTTTTACAGATAAAAAGTCCAAGTTTAAAACAGGTGGGGTAACTTAGTCAAGATTTCATATCTAAAAATTATGAGATGTTTTGATTTATAGATGAGTTAACTATTAAATGATTAATTATACAATAAAGTTTGTTAAGCTTACAAAAGGGAGAGACTCAGGCTACAGATCTAAAAATATAAACTTCCTTATGTTAGAGTAAAGATGGCTGCAATTTTTTTTTCTTTTCTTTTCTTTTCTTTTTTTTTTTGAGACAGAGTCTTGCTCTGTCACCCAGGCTAGAGTGCATCGGTACAATCTCATCTCACTGCAACCTCTACCTCACAGGTTCAAGGGATCCTCCTGCCTCAGCCTCCCAAGTAGCTGGCATTACAGGCGCCCGCCACCACGCCCAGATAATTTTTGTATTTTTAGTAGAGACACGGTTTCACCATGCTGGCCAGGCTGATATTGAGCTCCTGACCTCATGATCTGCCTGCCTCGGCCTCCCAAAGTGCTGGGATTACAGGCATGAGCCATGGTGCCCGGCCTGGAGTGAAGGGCACTTCCAGGAGTGAAGTCTAATTCCCATCCTTTTGTATCTGGGTAGGTGTAGTTACAAATTACAAATGAAATGTTGAGATGATGATAAGATATACTTCATGACTAGGCTCCTTCGCAGGCTACACCCACAGAAGCCTAGCAGCAGGATTCTGTCTCTCTAGCTAACATCACTCACTGTGGGGAAAAGCCAGCCATTATGTTAGGAAAAAAAAAAAAAAGAAAGAAAGAAAAAAGAAAAGTCTAAGCATTTTGAAACCCCTATGCCATGAGGAAGATCAGTGAACCATGTGGGGAAGCTGCATGAGGACAAATATCCAACTTTTACCAGCTACTCCAGCCATGCCAAGCCCCAACCCAAGACATGTGAGTGAAGATGCCTTCAGATTACTTTAGATTCGGCCACCTCTAGCTGCTATGTCATGGCAACCACATAAGAAATCCCTAGTGAAAACTGCCCTACTGAATCCGGTCAACCCACAGAACTGAGATAGTAATAAATTATTGTTTGATGCCATCAAGTTTTGAGGAAGTTTCTTACACAGCAATAGATACCCAGAACACCCATTATTTTTTAAAGGCATGCAATAGCATTAAAAACATAAATAAATGGATACTAACTGAGCAAAGGACTTTGAAATTAATTTTTTTTTCTTTCATAGGTATCACATTCTACAACAACCACATAAACGTCCACATAATTCAAAGGATATTTTAAAAAGTAATGACTTTCATTTTGGATGCATAATGTGTTTTAGATGTAGTGCTCTGAGAAAACAATACAGCATCAAAGAGTGTTAAATCTAGAAGATGTCTTTCTTAGAAGCCATTAGTCTGATTCTCTCAATTTGCATATGAGGAATGAGAGAGAGAGAGAGAGAATGAGAAATTCCATTATTTACGGAAATTCATGCAAACCTTGTGAAAAACCGTGAAAACCCAAGGCCTTTGGACTCATGTTTTCCTCTCTCAGAAGATGTTTTAAAAATCAGTATTCAACAGATGAATGAAATTGGCATAGTATTATTTAACTAGTAATTAAATTTTATATTGTTAGATGAATCCAAGCTTTATAAAATTAGACCTAAGTCTTCAACTCCAAAGGCAATACTATTTGTTTTTCTGATGTTCTGTACAATATTGCATGGCAATTTAAAAACAAATGTGTTTAGAAAAAAACTCGTCAATTGGAAAAAACATCAGAAGATTGGTTGCCTGTAGGGTGGAATGGAAATTGACTAGATGGGCACAAAAGTACTTTCTAAGGTGATGAAAATGATACATATATTTTAATTGAAGTATAGGTTACATGGGTGTATATATTTACAAAACTCATGGAACTGTTTTCTCAAGATCTGAGCATTTCACTGTATATAAATTAGTCCTTAATTTAAAAAAAATAAGAATTAAAAAGAGACTTTTCTCCTTCACAAGAGAAAATAACTTATCAACAGTTGGTTTGCCAATAGTGTAGATGGTTTGAGTCTGTTTAACTTACCACTTTCTCTGTTTTCCAATTATGAAATGGATGGACAAAGTCAGTGTTATGTACATCTGTGGTCAGAAAACAAAGTAAAGCTAACAAAGCCACTCAGAAGCTAAACATATGTGACCACAAAACATATGAGTTAAAAAGGGTCTGATAAATTATCTAATCCATTTTTTTTTTATTTTGTAGATAACATTGGCCTTGCTAACAAATTTAATAAACAGTGGTACTTTTAAAAAACTTGATGGTAAATGAAGATGTTGAGCCATTATTTGTAGAGTAGAAGCTCACTTATCCAGCAGAATTAGATCAGTACATAAGAATGAGTTAAAGCTGGTATTCACAAGGAAGAGAGGAAAATGGCAGATAGGAGACAGGACTAATGTGAAGCTCCCACTTGGACAAACAGAACAGCACCTGGAGACGCACATCATGAACCTTTGCTCCAGGAACTACAGCAGGAACATAACAGGAAAACTGAAAGAATTCACAGACCCTTTGAAAGAAGAGGCTTGCTGCTGCAAACTTCGAGACAGCTGAAAAACTGTGAGTTTTCAAAGTGTGAAGAGGGGGAAATGTCTGCCTCTGAACACACATCCCCACTGGGGAACCTAAAAATCCAGATCATGAGAGAAAGATGTAACCTTACCTAGAGCAGAAACAGATTCAGAGAACCAAACAAAATATGAAAGTAGAAGAAGCAGCGGGAAGAGCCCTGTAGGCACTCCTGGTCCCGCGCTCGAGCCCAGGGAAGCCATCCCTGGCTTTATCTCACAGCAGCCCTTAGGGAGGAAGCCAGCAGAATAGGGGAGAGGCCACAGTTGAAGGAAGCTTCTAGCAGAGCTTTAATAATTTTTGACTGAGCACAAATTTTCTGAGCAGAATCCAGGGAAGTGAATGGGAAGTGCAGATAGGAGTGCAGAAGCCACTGCTGACAGTGTGGGAAGTTAGGAGGTGAGAGGCCTGAGAGCTCTACTTGCTTTCTCAGCGTGGAAGCTTGTAGCCTGGGGCAAGGTTTCAGCCCTGCACAGCTTCCTGGTGGGGCACAGCAGGAGGGAGAGTGGCCTTGCTGACTGTGTGGGAGCAGTGTGAGGCCTGTCGCTGCTGGCTTTCCCACACTTCCCTGGTGACCGGTATGATGTAGAAGAGGCAGCTATAACCCCCTTGGAACATAACTTCACTGGCCTGAGAAGCACCCCCCATCCCCCACAGTATCTGCAGCAAGCCCTGCCCCAGGTGAGGTTTTGTTCAGACCCACCTATCCCTGCCCCAACCTGATGGTTTACTGCCCTGGTAGACAAAGACAAAAGACATAAAAACTCTTGGGAGCTCTATGGCCCCGCCCATCACCTGAGAAACCCAAGCACTTATTCTAGCCAACACAGGGCAAGCTTGTATTTCCTTTCTACTACCGCAGCTGGTGCTCTCTTGAAAGCACCACCTCCTGGCTGGAGGCCAACCAACTCAAGCCATTACAGCAACTCATAAAAGAACAACCCTGCCCCAAGAAAGGAGAAGACAACAGCTAATTTCACTGCCTGCAACATCCTGGCTAATCAGAGGTCCTGAGTCCGTCCATGTGACAACTTGACTGCTAGCATAACCAGCATTTGAATAAAACCAGCACACTCAACAAAACTACAACCAAGGAATTCCAAAAAGTCAACTCCACTCCCTGCCACCTCCACTGGAGTAGATGCTGGTATCCATGGCTGGGAGACCCAAACATGAATCATATAACAGGATTCTTTGCAGACATTCCCCAGCAACAGTTCAGAGCCCAGTAGCTCCACTGGGTGGGTAGACTCAGAAGGGCAATAACAATTACTGCAGTCTAGCTCTCAGGAAGAATCATTCCTAGGGGAAGGGAGAGAGCACCACATTAAGCGATCACCACTTGGGAGATAAAAATCAAACCGCAGCCCTTGAGTTCCAAATCTTTCCATTGAAACAGTCTACCCAAATGAGAAGGAACCAGAAAAGTAATTCTGGTAATATGAAAAAAAAAGATTCTATAACACTCCAAAAAATCACACTAGCTAAACCAAGAACTCTCTGAATTGCCAGATGAAGAATTCAGCAGGTTGATTAATAAGCTACTCAAGGAGGTACTAGAGAAAGGTGAAAATCAACTTAAAGAACATTAAAAAACAATATAAGATATGATTGAAAAAGTCTTTAGAGAAATAGATATAAAGAAAAGATAATCACAACTTCTAGAAATGAAAGGTACCCTTA